GCGCGCAGCGTCACTTGTGATCCCCTCCTGAAATCCGATTGATGGAGTGCCCTCCTTGCCCTCACGTCGGCCCCCCACCTCCACCCACTCCCCAGCCTCGGCCTGTCAGTATCCTAATATGGCAGAGGGCCGGGATGGGGGCCAGTGCTGAGGTTTGTGAATGGTGGACGTTCGGTATAAAAGGTGGACAGGCAGCAGTAAGGACTGTAGCTGGTTCAGCAGCAGCACTGGTTGGGTCGTTCTCTCCGAGCCGCAGACACACCCCTAAGGTAAGACCCTGCTAGGACCTGACACCCCTGAAGCCACTCATCCAGGCTGGGACACTAGACTAAGCCTTAACCGGGGAGCCACTGCAATTACTTAGGGGCAAAAATTAGGAAGGACCACCGGGGACAGGAGGCATAGGACTTGAGGCTGATTTGGGGCAACACGACTGCTGGAGGATAGCTAGACCATAGGAGAGACCTGAAGGAAGAAGAACTGTTTACAGTTGAGGAGGCAGAACACAAACACTGTGCTTGACGGGAGAAGCCTTAACTATCAGATCTGTAATTAAATAGACTAAATAATTGATAAATTGATAGATAGGTAAATAAAACATTTGGACTGAGTTTCTGGTCTGATCTTAAGCTGTTGTACTTTATGACAATTTAAAAACGAGAGAAATTTACCTGAGGGGGGATTGGTAAGACAATGGGAATACTAGGGATTTTGGTTCAACTTTAGCTTATTTTAGAGCCTTGATTTCTTCTAAGATTAAATAAAAAGTAAATCTTAGACAAGTCTGGCCAAATTCCAATAGAAAATTTTAAAACAATATCAGTTACTTTTAATAAGATTTAATTGACGTTTACAAAGGATACTCATCACGCGTTGGTTTGTTAATGCACCATAGATTTATATAGCGCAAGCAGTGAACTTGAACAGGTTCATGCTCCGTGAAATTATTTTTAGTCTTTTTAGCCACACGTAGGATGAGAATACAAAATAATGATACAGTTAATCAACGCCTTACTGTGTAATTGATTTCTGTCACATACATTATGGATTTGATGTGATTTCAAATATTTTGTCTTCCTCTCCTCTCTTACAGAAGCCAACATGTGTGACGACGATGAGACTACCGCCCTTGTGTGCGACAACGGCTCCGGCCTGGTGAAGGCTGGCTTCGCCGGAGACGATGCCCCCAGGGCCGTGTTCCCCTCTATCGTCGGCCGTCCCCGCCACCAGGTAAACAGCGAAGAAAATTAACCGATAGGCTTGATATTAGCCTGGACTAATTGGCAGCAGTCATTATTTCACACTCACTAATTGTCACACCTCACCCATCACACCGTTCAATATCAAGAAATACAATTAACCTTCCAAAAAATGAATTAAAATCAAAATGCAATAAACAAAAACAATAAATTAACATTTTGGATTGTTAAAACATTTAACATTTATTGCTAAAAAATATTGTAAAAGTTCAGTATCAACGCAGTCACAATATTTTTGGCTTCTTTTACCTGGAGCAGCCTTTAAATTAGTAACAGATGAAGTGCCAACTTCACAACTGCTCTGTCTCTGTCTCTGTGACTGATATGTGGCACATTTACGCAACGGTCACTATGTCTGTCCGAAGACTTTAATCTGTCCAGGAAAGGTCGCACATCTGTATGGATCAGTTGACGTCCCCGGCTAACCTTCCTTTTACTTCCCCTCTCTCCTCCCTTCAGGGTGTCATGGTCGGTATGGGTCAGAAGGACTCCTACGTCGGTGACGAGGCCCAGAGCAAGAGGGGTATCCTGACTCTGAAGTACCCCATTGAGCACGGCATCATCACCAACTGGGACGATATGGAGAAGATCTGGCACCACACCTTCTACAACGAGCTGAGAGTGGCCCCCGAGGAGCACCCCACCCTGCTCACTGAGGCCCCACTGAACCCCAAGGCCAACAGGGAGAAGATGACCCAGATCATGTTTGAGACCTTCAACGTCCCTGCCATGTATGTGGCCATCCAGGCTGTGCTGTCCCTGTACGCTTCCGGCCGTACCACTGGTAAGACTGACATAAAACAAATAAACAAACGTAGCTTACTAAACACATAAAACACATATAGCTAGTTTACCTTATTACTTAATAATATGTTACTGACATAGTCAATCGATCTAACATAAATGACAATAACTATTGAGGGAGCAATTTCTCAACAAAACGCTTTTACGCACAGCTTTTACGCACACTCGACCAGCCTTTCTGGAACTGTTCATGTAGGTTTATTTGACTTTATCTCGTAAATTCACCCCCAAGCACCCACTTTACCCATAATTTTACGCACAAAACGTATTTTTAACAGTTTTTTTTTTCTTTTTTGTCGCTCGGACTTTACTAAATTTTCTCCGTGGCTCTCTATAGGTATTGTGCTGGATGCTGGTGATGGTGTGACCCACAACGTCCCAGTCTATGAGGGTTACGCCCTGCCCCACGCCATCATGCGTCTGGACCTGGCTGGTCGCGATCTGACCGACTACCTGATGAAGATCCTGACTGAGCGTGGCTACTCCTTCGTGACCACTGGTGAGCAATTGAACAATAATCAACACGGCCTGAAAGAAAGAGGAAAAAGAAAGAAGGAAACTAACATTTTCTAGCAAGACATTATCTGGGCGAAGACGAGTCTAAATTGTCAGTTACCGTTCAATTTTATTAGCAGTGTTTGGGATAATTTGCTATGACATGCTTTGATCAAAGATTTACCTATACAGATAAAAAGGCGCAGCAAATAATTGTCACACTTTGTGAGGCCTATTAATGCCCACATGCGAGCATATTGATACTTAAATGTAAAGATATTGTTTTAAATAGAGTGAAAATAAGATGTGTACATGTTCACAACAGCGAAGAATTTGTGTAGTTTAGCCCATTAAATCCGTGTTATTACGCAGATTAGTATTTCACGCTTCACGCTTTTGGCACTCTGTATAATAACTTATCAACCTATAACTCCACAGCCGAGCGTGAGATCGTGCGTGACATCAAGGAGAAGCTGTGCTATGTGGCTCTGGACTTCGAGAACGAGATGGCCACCGCTGCCTCCTCCTCCTCCCTGGAGAAGAGCTACGAGCTTCCCGACGGTCAGGTCATCACCATTGGTAACGAGAGGTTCCGTTGCCCCGAGACCCTCTTCCAGCCTTCCTTCATCGGTACTTCAAAGAATCAGTTCTTTAAAAAAAAAGTTTTTGCCACCAAATAGACTTATGGAGGCTACTGGTACATACCGGGTACTCATTTCTTAACACTTTTTCATCTCATCTGAACAGGTATGGAGTCTGCTGGTATTCATGAGACTGCGTACAACAGCATCATGAAGTGCGATATTGACATCCGTAAGGATCTGTACGCCAACAATGTGCTCTCCGGCGGTACCACCATGTACCCTGGTATTGCTGACCGTATGCAGAAGGAGATCACTGCCCTGGCTCCCAGCACCATGAAGATCAAGGTACTTGAAATTGAACTCAAATCAGAGAAGCAAAAGCTTCAGAGTTTACAAGAGGATTGAAATATTTTATGCATAAATTGGCAAATACGCACCCGATTTCACTGAACACTTGTTCACTTATAGAAACCGGCACTTTACTAATCCACTCTTTCCTCCTCCAGATCATTGCTCCTCCCGAGAGGAAGTACTCCGTCTGGATCGGTGGCTCCATCCTGGCTTCCCTGTCCACCTTCCAGCAGATGTGGATCTCCAAGCAGGAGTACGACGAGGCCGGCCCCAGCATTGTCCACAGGAAGTGCTTCTAAATCCTTCATCTTTTTCTCCAGCTTCTCCATCATCTCAATCATTTTTACCACCAGCCGTCTGGAGATCAAGCAAGGAGAAAGATCGACCTCTGCGGCACGACAACACTCTGCTGTCGATGGACTGTCTGTCCGCGCTGCTGACATTCATATGCATTTTTTAATCCTTTCAAAAAATGTGCATATTTTATGGCTGTCTGTTGTCTGTGTTGCACGGAGAAAGGCTGTGAAAACCACCACTGAACCATGCATCCACCAAAAAAACTTTAATAAAAAAAATAAGAACAACATGTTGCCCAACACATGTGAATGTAAGTGTATATACATATTGATAATTTATTAAAGTCCATTATTTGGTAACTTTGCCCCTGGTCTTGTTTTTCCGGTATTGGCAGAAGATGACAAACAAAAGCGCAGGGAAATCAGACGATAAATACATTTTTATCTCTTAAAAGATAAATTTGTCTTAAGCCAACAATGCAATATTTCAGTATTCAACAAATCCTGCAAGAACTGTGGGAAATAAACCGGGATAAGCACTAAACGAAACATAGTGCGGCTAATTGTTCCACGAAAGACCAGGTGCAGGGCGCATTCATGGACATCTAAATGCAAGCTGGCACTAATGTCTGGATCATATTTGGATGGATGAGAGGCAGGAGGAGGGGCTGCTAGGTGAAAGAGGTATTGAAGGGCGACGCCTTCGAGCAGTTGCCGACAGTCGGTGTTTGACTTGCCAAGAATGCGCAAAGGCAGCAGCAGCAGCTCAGCCTTTTAGACTGACTGGATTAGTAGCACATCCGACACCTGACACCCTCCCTGCACGACCATAGAGCTCACCCACCGGCCCCCAGACCATCTTTAGACACAACCAGACTCCGGGTACAGTGGGTCATCTCCGCAGGATTATACCTTATATGCCTATAAGCTCACAGGTTATGTAGATGTAGGTTTGGGAGTAGGCTGCAGGCGCGCACATCATTTATAGCACCCGAGTAGCCTATTGTAAGACAACATGTTTCCTCCCCCTACAGAGCACCATTTATCTTTTAATAAAACAAACTGTATTTTCATCCTCTTTTGCCATTTTGTACAAGTTCCATGGCCGCACAGACGGCATTCCTGACACCCCGGTGCGGGGCCACCTGTTGCGGGTGTGTTTGGCTTTTTAAAAACGTCTTCAGGTGGGCGGAGCTAAGCTCGGAGACGCAGTCCTGTGTGTAATTACAGCAGCGGCACTGTGAACGCCATCTGTCCTGCTCTGCTTCCGCGAAATCCGACCCCGGCGTGAGTATATTTACTGTACTCAAAATTAGACAGTTACAGCCCCGAATTTCTCCGTGCGAGGCGCGCACTGCTGTTGAGTAGTGAGGATGGATGGTCTGTGACATTTAACGTTTACTGCGCTTCACCTGCGGGCGCTGACAGGCGATTATCGCTGCCCTGTGTCAGTATTAGCGCCATATGATTAATAATGGAGGTCTACAAATAACACATTTGTCATGAGGAGGTAATAGCTATAAAAGCTACAGGCAATAAATAGCCAGCTCACTGATTCTCAGTTACAGCCTAATGGCGTATGGTACACTTGTGCTTTCTGTACGCATATGTTGATTAGCTGGACTACGGAACAGCATTTTTCAGCAGTGAGGACAGGCTTGTAGAGCTGTAGCTGCATGCGTTTCACAGCCTGTCGTGTTTTTTTGTTTCTTGTTTCCTTTTTTTTTTACACTGATTTGTAGCCGACCTGTAAATTGGAATACTCAAGAGCAGTTTACACCTCTGCGGCCAATCAGAAGAGAAGGTTGCACTTACGTCATCGCGTTCAGGAACTTTCTGCTCTTAACGTTGTAACAGTTTTTTTTACCGGAGGCCATTTAAAAAAATGAAACGCAGATTAAATGAATGAAAAATGGATCATTTACTATGTAATTGTCCCCAGATTTGTCTTTTGTCCTCTTTCCTAACACAAGGAGGCAAACTGCCCCCGCCTGCATCCGCCTTCGACAGGATGTAGGCGGGCTTCTTAGAGGAGGGGGAACCCCTCGTGCTGCTCCGTCATTGGTTTTAACGGCTTCTCCATTATCTTTTAAATGTCTGGCGGTGCTAACAAACACGGAGCTGTGTGTAAAGGGGCGTGGAGGCTGTTTAGGCGTGTTCTGCGTGAGTAACAACAAGCTGTTTTTTCAGTTTAAAGAGTTTTCAGAGGAGCAAGATGGTGGCGAAGAGGATCCGCTCGGAGTACATGAAGAAGTTCAAAGATCCCAAATGGGACACGTACACTAAATGTTACGAGGAGATGTTGAAGTACAGGCTGACCCGCAGGCTGCTGGAACACACGCACAACCCCTGGTTCTGGAGCGGCTCCGATACTGACTCGGACTCGGGAGGTAGAAGTCCTCCTATTCCTCCAAGCAAGAACCAGGTACGGGACCAGGAGGATACCGGTGGCCGCGCGGAGGCTGAGCTAGAGGAGTGTGGGGGTGCGAGGACGGACACACAGCAGGAGCAGAGCAGAACCGCGGGGCCCGTACCCAGGGTTCCTATTCAAGAAGAGGAGGAGGATACAGGGCCTGCTGCACAGTCTGCACTTCATGGTAACCTGTATAAAACCCTTAATAACATACTGGGATGTATCATTTTAAATATTATGTATTAAAGCCACCGAAAATATAATAATAATAATAATAATAATAATAATAAAGGACTGGGATTAAAGTTCCAAATGTATTAGGAAAAAAACAGGTACATTTATAAGAAAAAATGAATTGGCAACATAAAGAGCAAAATAAATATTTTTTTTAAAAAGTATAATATATTTTATAAAAAGCTTCTTATATAATTTTAGTTATTTTGTCCTTGAATTTACCACTTTTGCTGTAGTTTTTTCATAATTTTGTCGTTGACGTTTACCTTATAAATTTGACATATTTTTATTACTAAATTCGTCTGCTTTTTCTTTCTTTTAAATTTCCCCTTTTTTCATAAACTAGTGTCTTTTTACTTTTTAAAAAAGTTTTCTATATTTGCCAGTTTTCTCATTAACAGGCCAATAAAACCCCCACTAATGCCTCTTTTTTTTTCTCAGAAACGTTCTCGGAAAAATTCTTAAGTCTTTGACTCAAAGCTTTTGGTTGTCAAGTTTATTCTCTAAATTTCAGCCCTCTTGTCCAGCTCCTTTATTTCTTTTTCATTCAGTCGCCCTATTACTGCATTGTAGGGATACATGCTTGATACTTTACTGTAACGTACAATTTTCTTTGCTCTTTTGGCCCAGCGTCTGATGCTATGAGGGAGACAAAGGTACTACAAGAGGAGCAGCGAGCCAGCAACAGAGGTAATAAGTAATTAACATTTGCTGAG